ATGGAATGCAGGGAAATCCTAAGGGCCTCACCCATGGAATGCAGGGAAATCCTAAGGGCCTCACCCATGGAATGCAGGGAAAACTGTCTGCCCTTCTCGCCACTGAGTCCCTATGGGACAGACCCAAGAGAACCTGTGCAAAATAGTCTCTGCGTCTGGCCCTCTTGACGCCACTGGACCCCCACATCCTGTCTCCCTGTCCATGCCCCTTCTGAGTGCTTCTCTGTGCCCCAGGGCATGGTCAGGCAGCCCTTCTCAAGGCCCAGGGCAGGGTCAGGCAGCCACAGAGTGTGGGGCTCACGCCCCTCCTTCTCCTCCTCTTCCTACCTCTCCTTCTGCTCCCTACAGAACCATGAGTTCATAGATGAGCAGATGTTTGAGCAGAACTGCATGGAGAGCTCGATGCAGAACTACCCGTCCACCAGGAGCCCCTCCCTGTCCAGCCACACCGGCCTCACCACCACCTGCTGCTCCCGCCGCAGTAAGAAGACCACACACCTGCCCAAGTCGAGCCTGCCAGCCACCCGCCTGCGCAGCATGCAAGAGCTCAGCACGATCCACATCCAGGGCAGCGAGCAGCCCTCCCTCACGACCAGGTGGGTGGCCCCTCCCGAGAGCCCAGGCTGAAGCACCCCAGAACTCAACAGACCCGAAGTCAGGAGAGCCGCCAGCCCCCCAGCCTGCCCGCCCCTACTGGTACAGGAGTTCTGACACGCCTCTTCCCCAACCTCCTCCGACCCAGCAAGGACCCCGGGGGGGGGGGGGACGAGACGCCACTTTCTCCAGGAAGTAACTTTCATGGTGGTTCCATAAGGCTTATCCCAGACTGGTCTAGCCCAGCTTCTCTGCTTGCAGACCCCCTCCCGCTACTTCCAGTAAGTGGTAGGGAAGTTAGAGAACGCCAGGAACAGGTGAAAGCCAAGGGGAGACAGTGTATACTCGTGAACTCCATGACTTTGCCAAGGTCATGGGTAGGCAGCGCAGGAATAACGATTAGAATGGCTTGCTGCCAAGAGCAGACGGAGCCCAACCTCCTGGCGGGGCGGGGAGCTCAGGGACAGAGCTGAGAAACTGGCATCGACTCACCGGCGCTTTTTTTCATCCCAGTCGTTCCAGCCTTAATCTGAAAGCAGACGACGGACTGAGACCAAACTGCAAAACATCCCAGATCACCACAGCCATCATCAGCATCCCCACCCCCCCGGCGCTGACCCCCGAGGGGGAGAGCCGGCCGCCCCCTGCCAGCCCAGGCCCCAACACGAACATTCCTTCCATAGCCAGCAATGTTGTCAAGGTCTCCGCCTTGTAAAGCCACTGGACAGAGGGCCAGTGTGGGCAGTGGGCGTGAGGGGGCTGGCATGTTGGTGGGTGGCCACTGGGACCACTCCCGCCCCCTCCCCCACTCTCTCTGCCTGCCCCCGTCGCACCCCTGGCACTGAAACTTGTGCCTGGGAGGAAGAGGAAGCAGCAGAGGGCGCCTGAGCTTCACTGCTGCTGGCGTGGACTTGGCCCTGCGATCTGCAGCTCACTGCGCAGAGGAAGGGAGGGTGGGGGGCGGGGGACAGGAGAGGGGACAGGAGGCTACGGCCGGACAGGGCCTGGAGGGGGCCTCAGACCAAGTAAGTTGTTTCTGGACACCCCAGTGAGGAAATCCAAGACCGAGAGCAGCACAGAGGCCGACTTGTCACATGCAAAACAGCAAGAAAATATAACACTGTGTATCTAAGCACCTTTTCAAGGCTCTTAATGGATAATATTTATTCATGGGAAAAGGTGGAAAACAAAAACACCAATGGATTTTTGTGAAATGTTTTTCTCCATGGACCCGATACCTTTGAACCAAAACAACGCATTTTGTGAGGGTTTGTTTTTGTTTTTGTTTTTTTCCTTTTATAGCAAAAGCCTTTAGGCCAAGAAGTCAGCTACTGAGTTTTCGCTCCATTTCCCCAGGTGGGTGAGGTCAACTGAGCCGGGGCCCCACGGCCCAGCTGACCTCCACAAAGCTGCCAGGTGACCACACAGCGATCCTTACCCTCTTGTCTGTCCGTCCGTCTCCATCCCTGTTCCTCTGCTTCTCCCAGCTGTTTGTCTCCACGTGTCTCCACAATAGCCCCAGCGCTCCTGAGACGTGAGTAAGACCCCCCTGGCATTTACGCTCTGCGAATAAATAAAAACAGGGAGAGTTTAGGGATGAAGGCTGGTGACTTTCTAGAAAAGGGCTTCCCTTGTGGCTGGAAGCACTGATGTTTGCCGTTTCCCTTTCTGGGGAAGAAAGGGTAGGACTGGATTTGCCCCACTGGGAGCTTGGAAATGGAAACAGCCAGCCCTGCTGCCCGTGAGGAGCATGCCGGACTCAGCTGCGGTCAGCCCCTGGGGCACCCCGCTCTGTACCCTTTTCAGGACCCACCACGAGACCCATGCACAGCTCTGCAGAGGGGCCCGCAAGCAGCTCCCTGCAGAGCCGTCGCTGGCGTGGGGACCGAGCTTCTGACTTCTCGCACCTGGGGCAGCTCCCACGCAGGCTGCAGAAGGCGAAGGTGGGTGCCTCACAAAGGACCCTCTCAAGTATGACAGCACTTAGAGGCCTTGAGGTCTGCAATCTTCAGGCCTGATGTTCCTGAAGATGATGGAAATGGGGGAGAGGCCTCATCACCTCTGTACAAGTGAAGGGAATGAAAATCTTCCTGGAGACCCTGGAAGTGTTCCTATTCAAGTGGCTCGCGCCCTGGTGGGCTCAGAACAGCATTTGTGGCACCCACTTTCACTGCGCACAGGCAGGCCTCAGGGTTAGCGACAGGCCCCTCCAGCCTTCCCCACTTCCCGGCTACCCTGTGCCCGGGGCGCTGAGACACAGAGCTCCTTACCCACTGTGCAGCTAGTGATCTGCTGCTCCACTGCAGGCCCAGAATTCTTGCCCGCCGGCTAGATGAGTTTTATGAGCCAAGAACCTCAAACACCTTCAGTCAGCTTCCCATGACCGCAGTTCTGTTGACCTTGTAGAAGGGCAAGGTCAAAGGTGATGCGATGGCATCTAACCTGAAGGTGGGCAGAAGGGCAGAGGAGAGGGAATCTTCTGTGTTTATCTCCTTGTGCTTATCCGCCCTGACCACTGACTGGGTTCTCCCTCTCGGTACCCCCGCAGGGTTCCCCCAAGTGGGAATGGGGCTTTTTGGCCCTCTAAACTATGGGCAGAAAAGCTTTATAATTGCAAAGGAGATAGGTGTCCACACAACCAACCTAGACAAATCTGCACGCAAGTTCGTAAATCCATTCACACAGTGCACGCATCTCATTAGGAGACAGGACCAGAGGGACTCCATCTGGAGGGGAGGCAAAGGACGAGGAAAGAAGGTTTCTCTCACAAGGTGTGTACTGGAACCCAGGCGAGAATGTCCAAGTCATACATCACAGGATCTGAGTGGGGCAGGGAATGAGAAAAACAGGAGCAAGGCTGCATGTACGTAGCGGCCTGTGCTTCAGGACAGGCAGAGCTAGAAGCGTGGCTGATGCATGGCGGGACCTGTTTGCGGGTGCACCGAGAGCCTCTCAGCGCTTCTCACAATAATTACCGAGCACATCTTTAAAATCACGTCCCCCGCACAGACTGTGTTCTTTTGGCCCCAGTGAACTGAATGTTTCGTTTCCCTCTGCTTTCATTGCCAATCCCACACTAGCCAGTTCTTAAAAGACTAACAGATAATCCCTCCATCCCCAGTGTAGCCCTGGCCAGGATAAACTACCAGCTCATCTCTGGTCCAAAAGAGGATGTGAACCCAGGAAAGTGACTATGCCGTTTCAATTACAATGGAAGATACCAGACTACACTGCTAACAGGCGGATGTAAGTGAACAAGCAGGCCCAAGTGTGCCGGGAGACGGTTAGTCAGGTCTAACTCAGCAGTGAGTGGGAGAAGAACCAGGACATCAACGTTTCCTGGGGACAGTGGCCACCTGGTGCGACGACTGGGGTTTTCATAGTTCACGAATCACTTGAACATGATAGAAGATTCCCCAAACCACCTATTCCACTGAATCCCAGTCAGCATTTGAGAGGGTTAAAAAAAACACCCAACAACTTCACATTCAAGTGATTGAAAACTGGCAAAACACAGCGTACATGGGAACTAGACAAGATGAAAGAAAACCTAGTTCACTTTCCAGTGCAGAAAGCTGAGGCCCAGAAAAATTAAGTGACTTGTCCGAGGCCATGTAGTCATTTAAACACAGAGACACGGCTGCTAGACTGATGCTTCTCCACTGCACCCACTACCTCGGCGAGCAGTGACGCTCTGGCACCCGTCAGCGAGCGTTGTGCTATAACTAGAGGCAGAGTCTTAAGGTCAGTGCTCCTTGGACAGAGCCCTTGGCAACCACGCGATTGTGCTAAACCAAACCACACTCTGGAAACCACTACTCCCTGGCTAGAATCAGCTACAGACTCGCAATTCTGTCAAAAATAACTTAGCAAATGAAACAGTTGCGTTTTTTCAGTCAAATACTATTTTCTCTCTATAGAGAGAGGGCTAGGTCAATGTGGCATTTCAAAGCATAGCTTTTTTAGTCCTAATTCTTTATCCTCTTGATTATAACCTCTGGTGGTAGCAGGTCAAGGAACTATAATCCCTGATTCATAGAGAGGAAAAATAGGCAGGAAGAAGCCTAAGTCACATAATAAGTGAGGAGAACTATGACTGCAATCCAGAGCACTCATAGTTACATCTTGTCCTGGGGTTTTTCCTCCACATCATCACTTACATTAACACCTGGATTTCAAGGGTGGTGATTAGGGGAAGGAAGCATTTCTTTCAGAACAACCCTTGGCCAGGGCCTCCGGACACAAACTATTTTCATAACTAGTGTCAAGCTCAGGACTAACTTCATCCCTCATCCCCCTACCCACTCCCTTTCCCCCTATTTTCACAACTAGTGTCAAGCTCAGGACTACCTGCGTAGAATCCTGTTCAAAAGACAGGTGTTCCCAGCGACAGCTGAGTACATTGTCTACAGTCACAAAGGAGTCAGGTGGTAGGAAAGTGAAATCAAAGAAGACAATGTGAACGGAATGGGCAGTTAGCTGGCCCATGACTCACCATGTCCATCCACGGATATGCTAAGGACTTGATCCAGTTTTCAAAGTTGAATCCTGGGGTTCAGGGCCATGTCACTCACTCGTCAGAACAGAAGGAATGTGTACACTGAAACATTAGGTACCTAGATTTTTTTCCTTGTCTGTTTTCAAACTTTGCAGAGTTAGTGGTTGAAACTGAGCTATACCTAGATGTTGAGGTTATTAATGAATTCCAGTGGTTCAGGCACCCTTATTTCAATTACCAGGTAACTACAAGGCAGAAAGAGCCCAATGCTGTTAACCTAAGGCAATATTAGTCTCCCTTCCAAACTAGTTGGCATGGTAACCATGACAAATAGGAACCTGAAAGACTTTTGCTTTCCCTGTCTGATTTCCTTATGAAATCTCATCATTTGCAAAGCTTTAAAATGAGTAGATGAAGGGGAAATATTGTGACTTGTGACCCTTGGAGCCCAAACAGCATCACGAAGAGCATCATTAGAACTAAGAGAAAGTGGCTACAATGAAAAGAAATGGCTTTAAAGGGTTGCTTTTGAATCTTTTCTATTCAGAATGTTCTGTCTTTTCTCATCAAGTGTGGGGACAATGTTTATCTTAGCAGGTTACTTATCTACACTGGATGACGTCACTCCAACCAGTGTAGGTACTGACCCGTCTTCGGGGAGAGGGGGCTCCTTGGACCAATGGACTATTTCACAAACCCAGGAGGTGGGAGGGATGGTATATTTTTGATAATCGAGACATTCCAATGTAATGTTTTCCTTAGAGCTCACTCCCCATTAATGTTATTGTGAAATACATCAAGTGTGTTCTCTTTTCTATTTTCGTATAATAAATGGGCTTTGCTTATCAATATCACAATGGCAAAGAAGAAATACTGTACAAAACTGCAGGAAGATAAACATGTGAAAACTTTCTACGGAAAATACTTTTGAGTTTCCTGTTGTCTTCTTTTGAAACTGTAACGCCTATGTTAACACATGTATCATTTACAGTACTGAGTCATGTGCCACTGCTGTACCCGATGTATCCAATCTGGATTAAACAATGTGCCACAAACCCTAAAATGATTATGGATGTTTAATACCAACTCCTGCTCCCCCCAAAGGCTCTGCTATACCCTAGAAAACAAGGGTAATTTGAAAAAAGAAAGGTTTTCTACCTTGGTAGAGATGTCAGAAATCTCAGAATGAGCTTTAAGGTCCAGCCTAATCTTACCCCGCCCTCCCCCAAGGCCCGCAGCCCCCTTCCGCCACGGGTGCCCACTAACACGGAGAGCATGTGATTGGCACCAGCTTGGTTTTGAGGCTCAGCCCTGCACTACTGAAAACCTGCCTTTATGGATCAGAACTGGTTTTGCCAGAATACACTGAGTAGCCATACCAGCGGATCAGACTAAAAAGCAAAGGGAATTAAATGTATAAAGGCAGCAGATTTTAGGTTCTGCTACTCACTTGTATGATGCCTATCACTC